ATCCCCTTTGATACTGTGTCAGAGTGATAGAATTATTATGGAGTTAGAAGACAAGGTAGAGAATGTTGCATAAATCTTCAGCAGGCACTGAACCAAACTGATCAGGAAAACTCCTCTCTCCATTTCAATCTTAGGAATGTTGTCATGACTGCCTTAAACTGTCAGAATTGTACCAGTATTAAATAAAGTTCTATTCCTGCAATCAAAATATAAATTCACTGTATTCAAATGTAAAACACCAATCACCATTTTTATATTCCACACATTTATTTCACCCAAAATCTGACTTTGAATCCCTAAATCCCAATGAAAAATAGTTATGATAGGACTGTTGGTTTGTTGGGAATGAAAGTACCAAATTCAAAATAAACATCGCTGACAATGTTCCTAGGACTATTGCAATGTTGCAAGGCATATTGATAGGTAGATAGTGGTTTGTCAATTTGTCTGTGCCTGCTGTAAAATTCATCTGAAATTCTGATTGTTGATTTTCACTGTAATGGTTAATCAGTCCTGGAGCTACTGTCATCTCAATTTTAATTATATAGTGATTTTCCAACACCAATCTTAACCTGAAAACAAAAGATGGAAATAGTACAAACTACATGGATGTAAATACAAAGATAAAACAGGATAGTACATACACTGCCCATCATTTTGTTTTCAAACCTAACAAGGATACCCGACTAGTGGCCTTTTCAATTTGTATCTCAGGTGCACACAGTACATAGGACCCCAGAATTAGGGTTAAAATATAGGAAATTACAGTTGTGTATTCTATTTCACATTATAAGCTCTTACATGTATGATGAAAAATTAATGATGTACAATTGTTATAGTTTCTCAACAATAGCATAAATTTTTAATATATATCAAAGGTAAATTACTATTTCGATATAATAATAATAAGTGACTAAATTCTATACATTGTTCCTACATTATGTAGTTTAATATATTGATTTTTGTTTTTGTGAGTTGTCGGGGAAAGAAAGCTCAATATCATTTTGATTTTTGAAAACCATGCATGTATTACCTGGTAGTTTCGTTGTAACATAATTTCCTGATCTGACATGGGAAAGCTGACAATTCTGAATCAATGTACATGTAGACATGGTCTGCTGTTTAATAAATTACATACATAGGTAGAAAGATTAAAGTTATGGATTGAATTATCCAGTACAGTGATTATCTTCATATCAGGTTATCCAACATGTTCAGCTGCTTACTATTTTACTCCAATGAATTTATTATTATTGTAAATCTAACCTAAAATGCTTGCAACTTTTCTCAGTATCAATGATATAATTTACTTGTTTTTCCGGCTGATTTATTGCTGACTTTTCACTTTACACATTCTTTTTACACATTTCCTACTTCAAACAACAGTTCCTATTTTATACTTGGTTACATTATTTTATTTTGCACTTTGAATATACTTCAATGCATGATTCTAAAAAGGTCTTACATCCTGGTACTTTTGGAGGTACAAATTTCTCAAAAGAGAGAGAGAGAGAGGTCTGTGACATGCTCGTAACTCTCAAATTGATTTTCAATTTTCCTTCTTTTTCCAAACCTGAAACTTTCTTGCACATTGAGTGCACTCCTATGCTCATTATTATTCAAAAAGTGAAAATGAAACGAAATTTCGTGGCTTGACAGTACAATTTGGGGCATTTCGGAAGAATTGGACAGTCAAACCCATTCCCCAAAAAGGTTACGGTTGGGGTTTAGTCAGAGCATGGGCTCAAAGTTGGTTAAGTATAGTATGACAGTCATAGCAAGGTTCATATAATCTTTTTCATTGAAACGTTTAAAATAAAATCTGTAACTTTCTATGTATTTAATGATTTATCTTTTGCAGGCCACCTTTGACCCTGAAGTGTTTTTTAATATTTTGTTGCCGCCCATTATCTTTCATGCGGGATACTGCATAAAAAGGGTGAGTGATAACAAATTGCATTCACTGTTGCCCATGGTTTCATTTATATGACTTGGATAAAGTGAAATTATCCTTTATGTCGACAGTTATCAGATCTGTATTAAAGTCGCACATTCGTCAGAACTGCACTTGTGTATTGAGAAAGAATGTTCACCTATTGGTAGTGGCTAGTATTTTAGAAATCTACTAATAAAAGCAAGTAAGCGATTGTCAAAATTATGCGGTAATGCTTGGTCATAGTGTATACATTTTTAGCTCCGCTGTCGACTTTGTCGAGCGGAGCTTATCATATGAGTGATTGTCCGTCGTCGTCGTCGTCGTCCGTCGTCGTTCGTGTCAATGTTTTACTTTTTCGACTTCTTCTTGAAAACTACAAGCCTAAATGCTTTGATACTTGGTGTATATGTACCTTGGGTAGACCTCTCTTAGGTTTGTTCATTTCATGTTGATATCTTTAATTCTCTAATTTTGGTGAATATTTTTGTCATTTTTGGTAAAAACTGATATTTTCGACTTCTTGTTAAAAACCGCAAGTGCAATTGCTTTGATATTACATCTATAGGGTACTGCATGTGAACCTCTCTCAGATTTGTTAATTTTGTAATGATATGTTTAATTCTTTAATTTTGGTGAATATTTTTGTCATTTTTGGTAAAAACTGATATTTTCGACTTCTTGTTAAAAACCGCAAGTCCAATTGCTTTGATACTACATATATAGATACTACATGTGGACCTCTCTCAGATTTGTTCATTTCGTGATGATATCTTCAATTCTCTAATTTTGGTAAATATTTTTGTCATTTTTGGTAAAAACTGATATTTTCGACTTCTTGTTAACAACCGCAAGTGCAATTGCTTTGATATTACATATATAGGTACTACATGTGGACCTCTCTCAGATTTGTTCATTTTGTAATGATATCTTTAATTTTCTAATTTTGGTGAATATTTTTGTCATTTTTGGTGAAAAGTGCTATTTTCGACTTCTTGTTAAAACCGCAGTCCAATTGCTTTGA